TTGCTTGAAAACAAAACACAATTAGGATTAAACAATATCGGGGTGTAACCAATTAAACAAAGAGTATAACTAACGCAAAAACCAGAACAAAACAGAATCCCATAATTTATACAAAATCTGCAAAATAGAAACAAATCTACCGTTCTATTTCACCTCAGAAAGTAGGGATATAGCAGAAATTCGAAGAATCAAAAACGGAAAGAATGAGAGAAGCATACTCGTGGAGAGCATCGAGGTGGATGAGGAGGCGGGTGTAAAGATCAGCAACGAAGTCCGGGTTAGGGTTCTTGAGATCGCCCTCTTTCACCTCGGCGATCTGTGACTGCTTCAGGATTATAATAATGTCCGCACGCGATAGTATGGGGTACTCAAATTTCGACATTTCCCTTGCGATTTTGCTTGTGGTTGCCCGATTGGATACCGAGAAAGTGAGAGAAACGCCGAGAAAATACGGAAGCTAAAGCAGAATGCGATTTTTCCCGCCTAAGGATTTGCATTCCGGTTCGGGTTCTGGATATATCCAATATTTTGTTTTTGGATTAGTTATCAGTAGTCCTTAAACTTTTAATAAAATTTGTTGGGATCCTTTAACTTTTTTCTTGTTCAATATGAACCTTAAGTGGTTATCCACAACTCATTGGATTTGGGACTGTTGAATAAGTCTTTAGATTTTTTCCTGGTATTTAGCCATTTCCTTGTAAGTGACTTTGTGTTTCCCAGTTATTAAAAATTAGTTTAATGTGCCTTGTTTTTCAACATAGTGGATGTTATTTTGTAGCTTTGTTTATTGGCACCTTGACTATTTTATGGGCCATTTGTTTGATAACTGGTATTATCTGAAATATATTTCTTTCTATTCCATTATTACTTGTGATTTTTGCTTCTCAAACTGTTTTGTTTTTCTTCATTATTTACTACGCTCACCAAGTGTTTGTTAAAATTCCTGAGAGAATGTTTCCTTATTTTGGCCCCTTTTATTCAACAAAGACTCCTCCGACCAAAGTCCCTTTTTTTTAATCAGGGAACCTTTTAAGCATAGGATCAAGCTTAACAAACTAAGATCGAATGAGGGGCCAGTCTCTTAGGTTGCTAAATGACTGTTCCTCTCAAAATTTTTATAAATTTTTTAACTTACAATATTATCTATGTATTTTCATATATTAATACTTCAATAAAAAGAGAGTAAAAGTAGTATTTTCAACATTTATTTTTCATAATATAATTCTCAATCCATAAATTTTTCTTTCACATTTTTTGAAAGATAAAAGTTTTCTCTTAACTTTTTATATGTAAAACTCATTTAATAATTTTTTTTATTTAACTTCCCTTATACCAAATTACTAATAATATTTTACTAAAAATAGAAAAAATTAACAATCCAACAAAATTTCATTACAAAATTTATCAATCTTTCATATAGTATTTTTCTAATTATTTTTCATTAAAAACTGTCTTAAAAAAATTGACAACCAAACATATCTTAAGGTTAACAGATCCTTTTCCCTGGGGGATTTTTCCTTACTGAAGCCTTTTATACTCATGCTTAGGAATAGAGAGTGGGCGATCGATCATAGCCAAGTTGTGTTTCTGTGCAGTTCTTGGCAAGGTTC